TCACCTACAGCACCATGTAATCTACCCACCCACCAATCATTAGGCCCATCTCCTCTCTCAAGTACTTCAATAACATCCCCTGCTTTAAAACTCAAATCGTTTGTCTCTTTTCCCACATAATCAAACATTGCTATGACAGTTGTCACAACTTGTCCTGGCTTGTGCCTTCTTCTATACAATATGATGCCAGCAGCTACTAATGCACCAACAAAAATCATGGAACCTATTACACCACCCACTATTGCACCTGTATTGGGCGGAGATGACGGAGATATAGATGATGTGGGTGTGGGTGAAGTTGGAAAGGTACCTGTAGGTCTATTTCCCCCCGACTTATTTGGTGAAATTCCCAAAATAAAGTTCGTCAATTGTAAATCTTTCGAATCTTCGGTGATGTCTGCAATCGCAACTCCACCGAAATTATTATTATTTATATATTCGAGTTTAGCATTTAACGATTGATAGTCTTCATAGAAAGTAACATAATAGTATTTTGAAGTGTTTTGTTGTTGGTAAAGATATGGTTGTTCCGCATTGCTAATAAAGCCATAGGCCCATTGTGACGGTGAATTTAAATTTGTAGGACAAAATGATGATATTTGACTACTTAAATCTTTCCATGGCCAATATGCATATGATGAATATCCACATTGATCTGAAATCTGTTCATTATTTGCAAAAGGGAACTTAAAATTTGAGTCATTTACTAGTTGAAGTTTTTGATTCTCAATGTGCGATTTAATATTATTACTATCGTCAGAAACAATTTCAACAATGCCACCAAATTCAACGCTTAAAATGAGTTTTGAATGATCTATAAAACTCCAATCTTCTAAAATTTTCGTGATTCTGTCTATTCCAGCACTTGCATACGTGTTATTTATATTAAGACGAAATGCCTAAAATTTTATAAATGGATAAATAAATATTTATAACATCATTTTTACGTAAAAAAGTAAAATTTACCTGAATATTTATAAAATTAATGTGATCATAGGTCATATTTATAGGATATTGGCCTGCTGTAATTGTTAAATTCTTATTACCTAATTGTGCTGATATAGCATTTAGGAAACCTGAGAAAAAATCATCAAGTCGGGTCGGACCGCATGGAAGTTTATAAGGATAATCAATATCAATCTACAAGTTAATATATAGAAGGTAATTTATTAATTATTTAATAAATGGATGTCGCCAGGGGAAAATCAGAATCCTTGATTTTCGGATGTCATTTCACAAGACACAGGCTTACCGGGCTTTGAAAAATCTAATGATATCGATTCAAGCATCGATATTAATATGACGAAATAATGTAACAATATATTATTCTTCAGAGCTAATAAGCTATATTCCGTTAAGTGTTAAATCCGAAATTCAAGAATTACTGGTTTTCATTGGCGGCACCAAAATAATCACATAAACAAAATAAAATAAAATTAGTTAATCTTACTCCGTCAAAACCTTGATTATTAACAATACTAACTAATTCATTAACGAATTTCAAATTTTGAAGACTAT